AGGAGAAGAGGCAATGGGCAAGAAAAAAAAAGCCTTTAGGATTGTTACTGAAGTTTTACCATAAAACTTCAAACATTGCAAGGGTTGTCCAGAGAGGTTATGGAGTCTCTGGAAATATGCAAAACCAAGCTGAACAAAGTCCTGAACAATGTGCTCCAGCTGACTTTGCTCTGAGCAGGGCAATTGGACTAGATGATGTCCAGAGGTCCATTCCAAGCACAGCTATTCCATGGCCCTAATGTGCAGCTAACAACATCCTTGCACTGCCAGGCACAGGTGCTCTCAGACAGAGTCTTTGCACCTTCCTGGGAGCGGCAGAGGTAAGTGGAGGTGCTTATCCCTTTCCCTCCAGGGAAACAGCAGGGTCAACAGCAAAATAGTAAGGACAAACACCAGATTTAAGAAATAAACCTGATTTGTGCTTCCAAGTCTGCCTTATGGGAAACAGAGATCAAGAAGAACCTGACTCAACCTGAACCACCACTTCCATCTTGGCTGAACCAAGAACATCTCTCCTGCTTGCATCAAGCTTAGACATGAAAAGGTCAGATGGCAGAGATAAAGAGAGAATCATGCTATGAAAATATCAAAGGTAAAGCCCTGTCCCAAATGAAGGCAGCAGGAGCTCTGCTAATATATCAGACATACAAAATTGAAAAGTCCTTCTCAGTTGATCAGTCCTGTCCTATGAGGTTGCAGGCATCCACCCCACAGCACCTTCTTCCTGAACTGCTACCTAAAAGTCATGCAGGTTTTCTTCCCCCCTCTAAGCTATTTGAGAGGCTCTCTGCAGTGGTAGTCAGGTTCCTCTTTCACTCTGACCAAGCTAACACATGGTCAGAGTCCAACCACTTGTTGTGATGCCGACACTGGTTTACAGCTTATGTGGGTTTTCTCTCCCTGCTGGTTGCATTTCCAGATGCCACGGAGCAGAGCCAGCATCCCTCAGCCCATCCCACCCTGCTCCAGGCTGAATACACTCGGGCTGTGCATGGTGCCAAAGGAGAGCTCGGGGGTGTCCTGCACTGCCACACTCACATTTCCCAAGAAATAACCCTCACAAATCCTCAGGTGGCTGCATTTATTGAAACCTCTGTAGTCTCTGCAAAACTTGTTCCAAGTGTTTTTTCATTAATCACTGTATTAATTACATCCATCCCAGCTAACCTGTGCTTTCCTCTGTGCTGTGCAAGGGCAGCTCATCTGCACACAGAGTCACCATTGTCAGTGGACAGAGCGTGGGGCTGCAGCCAGGAATTTATGAGGTCTTATCCCCAGCCTGCCAGTGGCCTTCCGTGTGGCCTTGGAAAATAACACTTAACATCTTTGTTTTTTTAGCTGTAAAATGGGAATAATAATCTTTATTCATTCACCTCAAAGAGGCGATGAGAGGATTTTATGCAGTGCTCACTATTTAAATGTTTCCAAACAAATTTCAGAATAACCAGTCAGGGTTTTTAAATGCATGCTCAGCTCATCTCTTGCAACCTCCTCTGCACTTGGTGCTCGTGGTTGCTTTCCTTGTTTCCCTGAGTATTCTAGAGCTAGCTGTATTACAGGGCTGTTGCAACCAAAATAGGTCTAAGTGGAATAATTCGCACAAACATTGAATTATATTAATCTCAAATATATCCTCAGTTGCCAAAATTTGGAACCAATCTTCCTACTACTGAAGTCAAAAAGGCAGAAGCGAGCCCGCTCAGCTCTTTCCCATTTGAAGAAAAATGCACTGCATGTATCCTGTTTACTTATTTGCAGTATCCCATCCCATCAAAAAAGCCAGTGATTTTGGAAGTCAATGCCAAGAAAATGCAGAGAACTGCATTGTGGCTTCTGAAGCCAACACAGATATGGAGCTTTGCAGAACACATTTTTCTATCCTAATGATGGAATTGATAATTGAGTGGGCAGCAGGAAGGCACAGCTGAAGCCTTCGCATCAGTCTGTGGTACATAATTTGTAGGAAGTACTAAGAGAAAAGTGGGGAGTCAGGGAAGGGCTGGCAGCTCCTGCAAAGTCCTGCAAATCTGTACCAGCCCAGCCACACTCTGCCTGCTCCCCAAACACACCACCCAGCCAGAGCCCAAGCCCGGTGCTCTTGGCAGGGCTCAACCTGCCACCCCTCAAAGTCCCGAGGTGATAACTCACACAAAGTGCTAATTCAGTAAAACCATGTCAGATCTTTTGAATTTGTCCCTGAAGTAATTTCAGTATGTGATCACTAAGGAATATCTTCCATTTTTCATCTTACCCAGGCAATTAATTCTATTCCTGAAATTACTGAAACTTCTGCACGTACAGTTGCCTGTGTTTGAGAATATTAAAATATAAGTACGTTCGAAAGAGTGGAGTACCTTCAAGCAAGAACCAGTGAAAGGTTGGTTGCTATGCAACTCAAGTATTGTCCATATTATACTTATCAACAGATGACATATTGTATAAAATAATTGTCTGAAAAACCCACAATACAGTAGAAGGCTGCTCAGGGGTGGAGAATTGGCAATAGCTGAGAGTGCTGTCATAAACCTGACGTTGATGGTACATACTTCATCAATTACAGAACAGTAATGTAATTATTATGATTATTTAAATGGCACCCTTGATAATATATATAAATTGCCTGCAGTGAAGCAAATGAATCTGAAGATATTAGCTCCATGCTTTCAAAAGAAATGCTTACTCAAACAAGACTGGGATAACATTTTCATGTTGTGAAGCCAACCACACTGCTTCATTCATGCACTGCCTTAACTTGTACACATACCCTACTTAATACTATGTATTTTGAATATATAGTTACCTAAAAAATGTTAGTCCTTGTGTGTGGGACAGTAAAATATCCAAGGCTTTGTTCTAATTCCTCAGAACAGGTTCAGAAAATAAGAACTATACGCTTCTTCTCTCTGCTTTTCCACTGCTAAAGTATCCCAAACCTTTAAAGAAAAATCTCCTCACCTTCCTAATCCCTGGTACTAGTCCTCTGATCAGGAATTTTAAAAACATGAACAGAAAAGGATGTATTCTTATACAGCCATGGTATGCAGGTTTCTATACCATAAAGCAGAGGAGCTCTGGAATGATAACTTTAATACATGCTTTTTGCTATTTTTAGAAAGCTATAGATTGTCTTTCATATAAACTAGAATCAGATATGGAAATACAAGAGAAATTGTCTTTGGGGAAAGCTTGTGATAGCAGAATTATTCCACTGAAACCAGCAGGACAACTCAGAAGCTATAGCATTGTCCACTGCAGGTTGTGGAAGTAGAATCCAGAAGCAGAATATCCACAAGCAGATTACACAGACCTGCAAATGCTACTTCTGTGATGTGGCCAAAGACCTGCCAAAAAATGATGGCTTCTGTCTTCCGCCTCAGCTCTCCTGTCTAAAGAATATGAAACTGGTAACTTTCAAATTATAAACTGACAAAGCTTTGCTCTTCACAAGAAAACAAAGATCCTTAAGATGGAATGATGACTGCTGTAGCCACTATCTGCCATCTGGAACCTGGCAGAAATAACCAGAGCTCACACTGAGGTAGATCTATAGGGCTAAAGATTAATAATACTGAACACATAACAATTATGAAACACCCATGAACTAAGGACTGCAAAGTGACTAGCCCAGGTACTAATTCTGCTGGCTTCCACCAGTATTGCAACATCAGGTTTGTATGAGATTCATAAGTCAATTTGCAATCAAATTTTTGCCATTACAGCAATTACAAGGATATTTCAACCATTTTGTAATTCAATGTTAACTACACGCTCCATGAACTTTCAATCACAAAATGGCAAATATGACCTTTTTTTACATTTACTTTAGGACATACATCTGATTAAGCTTATCCAAACTGCATAACTATGTCGTCATCATCATCATCATCACTGCAGGAAAAGCAGAGATGGATTGGTGTGTTTTGTTCTCAGATGAGGAACCTCCAACAGAAAAATTTAACCTGTATCCAGGTAATCAGTCTCCTGCAGAGTCCAGACTAAACTTGAGAGCTCCCTCATTTGCACCAGGAAGGAAAATTCTCAGCTGGTATTGAGCAGGATAAGCTGGTGAATGCCAGTGGAGCTTCACCATGTGCACTGGCTCTTTGCCAGCATTCCAGCAACTTCCATGAACAGACATGGATCATCCAGAATCCAGGTTTACTACACGAACATGGAAATCCCAGCACTCCAGTCACAGGAAGGTGCATTAGACATTAACACTCTGCTCTGAGCAGCTGGGCCTGATGCTGCATTGGAGAGCACTAAAATCACATGTCCTTAACCAAAGCAGTTATCAACATACTTGAAATGTCCTGTTCTTGTTCCCATGGAATGACTTGGCACTAGCAGGACACAGGTACTGAACAGATCAATGCTTTTGAAACCCATTTAACATTTTGTCCCTCTTTATCCAAGTTTTGTCTGTGGAGCAACCCCTTCCACAGAAACTGAGAGAAAGAGCACTTGATATTTTTAATTACAGATTTGATCTGCAGAGCTCTTGCCTTCTGGCCCCTATTCCACAGAACACCCATTTAACTTTAAGCACACGTGTAGCTCCCCTGATAATAAGCACAAGTATAAATGAGTTCTTAGAAAGCGGCCGTAGACCTCAGCATCTTGCAGAACTGACCTTGTGTTTACTGTTACTTACATACAGTTGAACCAGAACACAGTTGTGTTTTCTTTAGGAACTAAAATGTTCTCTATGTTTCACGGACTATTCCAAACAAATGTGAAAAGACAGACTGCCAGAGCTAAGCAGTAACTTCAAATGACAAAGGGAAAACCCAGAAGAAATTGAAATTATTTGAAATGTAAAGTGTAAATGATAAACAGATATATATAAAAATGAAAGTTCTTTATATTCACAGACTAGTAAGGATAATATATATGGATTAAAATACAAAACAAATACATGGCCCAAGTAACTGCACTGTTCATAAAAGAATGAAGTCTATAGATATTGATATCATCCGTTTAAATTAACCTTTCCTTACCTTGCCGTAGCTCAGCAGGATTATCCTCACCAAGACAACGTTAATGTGAGCACCCAGGGACTCATCATGATAAATTTCATTAACCTGCAAAAGAGTTCAGTGCTTTAACAATGGTAACTATGAAGGCAGTGATACAGCCAGTACCTTTTATGCTCTGTCATTAGGCCAGACACCACTTTGTGATCATATTTAAAACATGAAAAACTCCACTAATGAGAGAGGGAATGGGTTTTTTTCCAAACTCTGCTGTAATCTCCTAACAGGCCATAATTTAGGGAATCATTTAAAATAAATATAGAGAGAGATAGATATACATATAGATGATATAGACATATAGAGAGACTTGAGATTAACAGGTATATAAGTGCCAGCCCAATTGCACTTGGAGGTATCATGGTGCACCCACACCATGCAGCTGAGCTGACCCACTGGAACCTGGAGCATGGCAATCCAGGCAAAATCCCAAATATTCCTCTGCTGAGCAGGACCATGCATAGGGAAGGGGAAGAGTGAGCAGAGAGACAGGACCTCTCTCCCAAGAGCCATTCACCAGATCAGCTCAGCTGCACCCTGTAACTCTTCCATCTGGGACCCATCATATCACACTCTGCCAAAAGGATGTGGCTCCTCCAAAAAGCTGGTCAGGCACATGAGCTGGCTTTATTGTGTGTCAAAACTCATCAGTGTTAAACTTTGCAAGCAGAACAAAAGCTACAAAATGCCAGCAAGTTAAAATTGTCTTTTTTTTTTTTTTTTTTTTTTTTTTAATACCAGAGCTACATAACTGAACACACACATGGGGAAATCACCCCAGGAACACTGAAAAGAAAACTGTAAATATTTAGAGTACAGAATGAAATGTGGATGAATAACAATTACTTAGGAAACACTGCTACAGGCAAGCTGGGCAAATATTAACTGTTAACGAGGCTGATTTAAGTATTCAGTGATGAAGACTGCATGAGACTTGGCCAAATGGCAGGGGTTTAGCTTTACAAATTAGAAGAGGCAGATGAGATCCCTGCAAGGCAAGTTCCTTCCCTAAAACCTCGTTCCCTTGGTAAAGGTTGCACCAAACTGAACTATTTTGCTGGATGGACCTAGATTTCATTTATTCCTGCAAACTAGATTCATTACTTCAAGGTAATAAATAACTTTCAGGGAATCTTTCATTTTAAACATGGTAAATAATGTCCTGCTACTTCAATCAGCCCCAGTTTTAATGGCCCATATTTTATCTCTTCAAAAACCATTAAAATTAAATACATCAGTGTAGTTTTTGCTAAGCAATCCCCACTGACATTTTATAGTGAATTTTAATTTGTTTCATCAGTATTTTTTGACAGAAGAGCCTTATTTTATGCCTGGTAGACATCCAAATTTTCAACAGTCCTGAGTGTCCTGCTGAACCGCAGCTCCAGGAGGAGGTTCACACCCTGCAGGGCACCTGGGGAACATTCTGGGGGATGCCTGGGATGCAGGCTCATTGCTGGTTGATGTGCAAGCAGATCCTTGGATAAGGATGGTGGATGAGGAGCCCATGGCTATGAGTGGCCTCAGGGGCTTCTGTTTTCCTTGCGGGGTAGAAGGAGCTGATTATGTTCAAATCTGCTTTGTAAACAACCCCTCTGGAAATCAGATCATCTCTTTGCATGTTTAAATAAGACTTTAGAAGACTAACTTTATATTCTGAAATTTTAAAAATGCTCTTATTTTTACTTTGAGGACCATTGCTCAGCACAGATTATAAAGAGATAAGACATAAACACATTTTGCTTTACAAAAATTCTTTCACCCAGGAAAAAGACCCTTGAACACTGTCAAGGGAGGCAGGGATATTGATTTGCCTCCCTCTTTGTGTGATGAGAAGAGAGTACTCACATCAAGGATATGAGGTTGAAATAAGCTGCAAATTACCTGTACATGAAATGAGTATTAAACAAAAACTGCTGTGTATAGAGGACAGTAAACACAGCATGTAAATAAGTATTTAATTAGTTCATAAGGCATAATCCAAATTGGTGCACACCACTCTCTCATTAACTTCCAGAATTTAACCTAAGCCTCTTTTAACAATCGTTGAGTAACCGAACAACTGTATCGCTGTTGTGTGCCAAAGGGAAACTTGGCTTGAAAACATTGATGGAACAGAATTAAAACACTGTTTGACTATTCATGCAAATGACATCTAACAAACAAACTGTGAATGAACAGAAAAGCACAAGCACTGTAAAAAGCTGCTTGGTTCTCTTGGGATCCTGGATTTTCTGCAAGACAGCAAGCCAATTCAAAGCTCTGGGCCTTGGTTTCATTAGTTAGGGTGAGTCCAAGCCCTCTTCACCCAGCATCTTCCTCTGACCTAAACTGTGGTTAGCTAGGAGTGTCTTACTGCTCATGAATAACATGCTGAAATAGATGCTTTTCCTTTTTTTCAGCACAATCTAAATCACACCTATTTGTTTCAGGAGTCTGTTAGAGATACAAGATCTGAGCAAACGTTGTGCTTTCAGAGGTTCATGAAAATGCACACACTGAAAGGCCCAACAGATTCTCAGATTCTCCACATTTCCACCTCTTATTTCAACAGGAAAGCAGAGTCAACCTAATGCAGCTCAATATATAGGGCAGAAGATGACCAACCAGCCTGTGCAATCAGAAAGCTCCAGGCTTGAGAGCAGCTCACAACTTTGAAACTTAGTGTTTGAAAGCAGAGATAGCCAGACAATGGAGATACATGTTCAGATGCCTGTGCAATAAATACACACAGCTCTGGAAAAGACTGCAAGTACTTTTCCAGCACTGCATCTTCACGTACTTCAGCAGGACATCCTGGTTCATATCAACAGAAGAAAAGCCAGAGTCAATCTCCTGTGGTTCTTAGATCAGTAAGTCTAAAATTAAGTTGCTGCATGGGAGAAAAAAAGTACACAGAGACCATCCCATAATCACAGCTCCTGAACTGAAGGCAGTGAATGAATTAAGTCTTGTTAGATGTCCTACAGTGATTCAGCATTTATAGAGGGTGCTGAAGAAAGCTGGGTAAACCTCAAAGAATTCAAAGCACAGTGAAACACTGTAAAGACACTTTCATCAAGCTATTGTAGTTCGCTAACTATTTTGGGATACCTTTGGTTTCTTTTTCTGGGATATTTCAAAGGAAAACATACATTTCTATTTAAAGTTTCTGTGTAGAAATCAGGCTAGCACAGATTGGTGCTACAAAAGAAAAACAAAGAATTTATTTACTTTTTTTTTCATCTGTCCCTCTATGCTAATTTTATAATTCTTCTGCCTTGAGCAAGTTTCAACTCAGCACAGTAAGACAGAATACATAAAAAAGCTAAAGGCAAGGCAAGCACCAGTGAGGTGCCCCATGCTTTGTAAAAGAAGCACTGGAAAGTTTTGATTACTGAGCAAAGCACTGCCTGATCCTAAAAAGGAATTTTGAAGCTCCTGTAACACAAATGGTAATCAACAGCCTAGAGTTCTGCTAGTCTTGGTGCAGAGCAGGTTACCTGCTGATAGAGCTGGCAGGAATTTTAGGCAAAGTCAGGTGGTTCCCTGGATCTCTAATTAAACCAACGCACCATAGGAGAATAATCTGCGTATTTTGGCAAATCATCAGCAAACTCATTCATGCAGTTTGAAGGAGTCCCCAGCCTTGCAGAGTTTGTTATATCTGCTATGCAAAAGGCAGATCATTTCATCACAACACAGCTCCTGGACCACAAACCATCGGGTTCTTCCCGAGGCAGCTCCATGGATTGCTCCTCACGCCTGGGTGAGCGCCACTGCCCCGGGCTCCCGAGCACACACCCCTGCTGGACATTTCACAGCTTCAACCTCGGGCTACATCAGTGTCAAACAGCCCTGACCCAGCACCAGAGGCCATCAGAGGGCACATCTGACCCTTTGGAGAGGGCACAAACCAAGAGTCATCTGGTTTTGCAGCCACCACAGTTTGCTGATCCATCCAAGCTGATTAGCCCACTCTTTGATCACCCAGCATCCTTACACAACTACTGCTGCAGGAGCTACTGATGGCTACGTGCTCCCAGGCAGAGCTGGGACCATGTGTGGATCTCTGCCAGAAAAGCTGGAGAGCATCAGCTCCTTCCCTGTGGGATGGCAGAGCTCCTGGCAAGCCACTGTTAGAGCCCAGCCCGAGATGCAGCTCATTCATCAGCTCATAATTATCTGCAGCAAAGCCTCGGTGCCTGGTGGGCATCCAGTGATTGTCTATTTCTGTAAGAAACGTCTGGTTTGAATTACAGGATAGGAACCAGAAATGTTATGGTGGATACTGAGCACAAACTTCTGTAATCTGACTCTCCCAAAAGCGTTTCCCTCTCACTTTATTTTTCTGTGGTCCCACTTCAAACACCACTGTGCTCTTCGATTTTCATCACCTTCTTTATGCTTTTGAAGATCCCAAATGAGCATTTCTGACATTCCCAAAGCTTTATCTAAATCCCACAGGAATAACATTACATCAGTTCCTCTGGTGGATGTACTATGGTCACACAGAAAGTCATACAGCAAAATCAAGGACTCCTAGTCTCCCTTTCTAGTCCTTACAAGGCATTTCCTCATTTCCTCAGAGAGGAACTCTCTTTTTTTCCTGAATTCTTTATTGAGCATCACAAGGAAAAAAAGAAGAATGAAAGCACTCAACACACATGAAACTTAAAGGTCAAACTGTGATCCCACATTTGGAAAACATCTATCATTCTGCTCAAAACCACATACACCGGGCAGTTTTAGAAGAGCTTGGCAATGTCCATTTTGAACCAGAGATAAGAATCTCACATTTTCTATGCAAATATGAGTCCAAGTCCTGATTTACCTTCCCTGGTGTCAGAGTCAGTAGGTGTTACCAAGTCCAAGTTAGCTGCTTCTGATCAAAATGAAAAACATTCCCCAGCAGATGTGCTGGCAAGGCACTAGGTAGCTTCATGTTACGGGCCTCTATCTCATCTTCAACTGTAACACTGGCTTTAGAAAGGTCATAGACTTTGTTTTCTGACTTCATGACTAATTTATTTTTCTTAGTTCCTCCCGCAGGCTCTTGGAACTTCTCATTC